CAATATATATATATATATACAGTATATACACACACATACATATATGTATCAGTTTATCAGTAGAAGTGTTACATCTAATAATTTAAGGAAACAAGCCACCAAAGAGGTGCTTGAGATTGTGACTACTCACTCTATTGCTTCTCTGGTTTCAACAAGAAACCCCGCACTTGGTGACCCACAGAACCTCTATGGCAGGGACTCACAACTAGGGTATACATACCAGTTGGGGGTATGGAAACTATTGATGGGGGTATAAAACTGGGTCTCTGAACACAAACATATATGAAACAGAATTCCTTGCATTGTTCAACCTGACATCAAAACAGATGATGTATCAGATAACATGCGGAGAAGATTATCATTAACTGTACCTCAGTTTTATGAGTTTTATGTTTTGATTGGACAAAAATGATGTTATATAAATAAATACGATCAAATCCTTATGCTTTTCTTTCAGCTGATCTGTTGCTAGCTATACGTATGGATATGGATAAATAAAACACAGCTATGGACATTTGTTTAAGTCATACTGGTACATAATAGTATGGTGATGATAAACATTTTGAGTTTGTTGAGGAGGGTATAGGCATATAGTGGGCAATCCACAGGGGATCTGTATAGCTAAACAGGTTAAGAGCCGATGAATTATGGGTCAGCAATCGTACAGGTATTCTTTGGCTACCAATTATTTCTATTAGCAGATGTGAAGTAAACATTATGGGCCTCAAACTTCCCAAAAGAACTGCAAAGAATCCAAGAAAAATGGTCATTTTTTCAGGAAGAATATAATAAGCTCTCAGACACCTTTTTTCTTTTCCACTTCATTGAAGTTTAAATCTGCTAAATACATTCCAGGTGCATAAAAACAATGTGTGCAAAGTCTTACAGTTTGTTTTCTTTAGCAGTCAGCTACAGCCTGAGTAGAAACGCCTGCCCCCTGCCGGCACGCTGTAGAGAAGCATCCTCGCTCTCTACGTGAAAGCAGCGATCTCTCTGCAGAGACTCAGCACACCTTTGTTGAGCCAGAGCTAGAGCTCTCCAGGGTGCATGAGCTTTGGTATAGGTCTGTCTCAGTAGGGGACGTGTGGGACCTCTGCAATAGGACCACCATATGCAGCATTTGCATAACATCTTTATAAGATGGACAATGCTACATTTGTCAGTCCTGATCACTTTAAGAATCCAGGAATCGGAAACAGCCAGTCATTGATTGCATCAATGATTTTGGCTTGAGTTGGGCTTTACAGGAAAACGATAATGTATTGTTTAAAGTTTTTCAACTGATACTTTAAATATGTTGTAACTAGGGATGTCCCGATATCAATGCTAGCATCGGAATCGGGCCCAATACAGGGCATTTTGACAAGTACTTGTACTTGTCAAAATGCCCCGATGCATAGCGCCGAAGCTTGCGCTGGTTTTTTAAAAATGATTTTACCTTCCGTGGGCAGGCTGAGCGGAGGAGCGTTGTGTCACTGCTGTGGGCAGAGCTCCAGGTGGGGTCCTAATGTAGGTGGCCGGCGACTCTACCTGGAGCTCAGCCCACAGGAGTGACGCGGCGCTCCTCCGCTCAGTGCCGCCGTGGTCCTCTGGGCAGGCTGAGCGGAGGATCGTCACGTCACTACTGTGGGCGGAGCTCCAGGTGGGGTTCTATTGTAGGTGGCAGTGACGCGATGCTCCTCCGCTCAGCGCCGTCAATGTCCTCCTCACATGTGAGGAAAAAGAGCATTCGGCACCTCGTGAGGCACCAGTAAGTGAGGCCCTGTTTCTGTATACAGCATTCTTTATTTTTTACTACAATTGTGATCTGGTGGCCTGTTCTTATTTGATGCTGGATTTCTCAATGATCTGTGGACGTTGCTTTGTTTAGTGATCTCACTTGACTAGGTATGTTCATTTTATAGCTGTTACTGGTGTCTCGCTGAGCATTACATTACCAATGTGTATAATAACTGTGCATTGCATTCTATTTGTGAAAAGAAGAAAGTACATTTGAAACCTCACTCTTTTGAATGCCTCTGCACCAAATAAAGGAAAGGTATCACACTCCAATTTAATTGCATATGGAGTGTGATTGGTTTATAGCAGGGATGTCCCGATACTGATACAAGCATCGGTATCGGGACCAATACAGGGCATTTTGACAAGTACTTGTCAAAATGCCCCGATACAAAGTGCCAAAGCTTGCGCTATGTTTATTTAATTTGTTTTTACTTACCGTGTAGCGCAGAGTGTCGCGTCACTGCTGCTCCGGTGGGCGGCGTTCCAGGCAGTCGCCGGCCACCTAAATTAGGACCCCACCTGGAGCGCCGCCCACTGGAGCAGCAGTGACGCGACGCTCCTCTCCAGCTCAGCGCAGACAATGTCCTCACGTGTGAGGAAAATCGTGAAGCACGGCGATCGAGGCAACAGTGAGTAAGACGGGGCCTGGGCTTAGTTTTTTGTGTGATCTACTGCTGCAGTGCATTCTATACGTACTGTACATATACAATACATATAGAATGCACTGCAGCAATAGATTTACAATTCTGCACTGCTAATCTGAATGGGTTAAATGATCCGTAGTACAACTAAATGTTATGTACTATTATGTACTATGTATCATGATTTAACCTATTCATGTTAGCAGGGCAGAATTGTGAGCGTGTCCCACAAGCTGAGCACAGAGACGTGATGCAGCGATCCTGCCCAGCCCTGACTACAAGAGGCACCACGTGAGGCAACAGGGATCGGAGTGAAACTGTGAGTGAGGGAAGCTGGGACAGGGCTGGCTTCTCCCCTAAAAAAAAAAAAAAAAAGTATCAGTAATTGGTATCGGCAAGTACATGAGGGGAAGTACTTGTACTTGTACTTGGTCCTGAAAAAGTGGTATCGGGACATCCCTAGTTGTAACGTTTTATAAAAACTCATCTTACAAATAATCAATTAAAGGAAAATGATGGGATGAGTGAAATACACTCATCCCTATAGTTAGAGCCGGCGTGCGACAGTGCAGCTATTGATCGAGAACTGAGTGATCACATACCGCTGATCGCTCAGTTCTCAATCTTCTCCTTGCATAGAGCGGCGACTGTTAGTCATCACTCTCCACAGGGATTCCCCCCCTTACCCCTTTCTGTTCCTCCAGCCTGACTGCAGGGACAGACAGGGGAGTGGGCGTGCACAGCTGTCAATCAGGTAGTGGGGTCGATCCCGACAATATCGTCGGGATCTTTTCTGGCTGCAGCATGGGTCTGCGCTCTCAGCATATAGCCGGCATTACATGCTGAGTTTTGGATCACAGGACATTAGTAAATGTCCTCCTGTGACCCTAAAGAGAACTACAGACAAAATTGTTCTCTTTTAATATGGATTCATGAATTGAAAAAGCTAGTCAGCTGACCAGAGAAATGTCTTCAGGAAAAATACCGCCAGTCCCGTTGCTTTGATTTATTTTTTACAGATACAGTATACCATGACCTGGATGAATGAGAACCTTCACAGACAATTACTATGGGGGCACACGTGACACTGGTATCACAGTGCATTCATTTAATAAAGAATATCAATATATAAAAACACCACATATTACATTTAAACAACCCATTTTCTGCTCACTTGTGGACAGCTTCACATATTTGTGTGCTTGTTTACTTTTAGTCCTCCTTTTTTAACAACAAGCATGTTTTGGTTGTTAGGCCTTCAGGAGAGTTAAACAATTTTGAGATGACAAATCCTTCTTTTAATGTTAATATAAAGACATTGCCTTACTTTTCTTTTTCAGATTCTACAACATACTGCAGGTTACTTACTATGTATTTAGAGATACTTTTATAATCCCCACTTCAAGCATATTTAGAGACTTCATATCTGAAGATATTATCATTGAAAAGCACTTTATAGTCAAGTAATTTATAGTCAAGCTATAGCTTTACCTCTAATTGAAAGCATTAACAATAAGAAACTTTGACTGAAAAGTATACATAATGCAGCTAATGTCGATGTCTTTGTCTCTGGAGAATTGGAGCGTCTTTCTAATAAAACAGAAGCAATTTTGGCTGTAATGCAGCACTATATAAATGCCAATCTAACCTTTTCTTTTACTTTAAAGTTGATTATACTTCTCTAATGAAAAATAAATGATGAAACATTCTGAATATCTTAAGGTAACCATAGCTAAGAACAGGCTCAGCCTATTTTCAATGCATAGTCACGAACATTGTGACTGACTGTTCATGGAAAGTACATTTTTTTGTTTGATCAATACTTGTTTTACAAAGATCACATTCATCTTCGGCATT